ACAACCATGCAGGCAGTTTCCAATTAACATTCTCGAGATAAAACTAGAAATGGTCTCAACACCTGCCCCTAACACCTCACCACCAGAGCCCTCCTTTCCTGCTCCCACCTCTCACATCTCAGAAATTCTACTGTACCCCTCCATCAGGAGCTCTGCCCAATTGTGAGAGCTTTAATACAGCACCAGTGTCTTCCCTCATGACCACTCTCAAGGAGTCTCTGGCTAAATTTTGGATTTCAAGAATATTCAGGAATCAGAGGGACAGAGAGAATGTGGAACTGTGTGGGCTAGCCTTGAAGACTAATATTTATCCATTATTTTTTTTCCTTCTAAGAAAAGCTCTATCAAAATTCAAATAACTAACCTACAAATAAAAATTCAGAAGATAAAACAATCCCCCACTAATTGCAAAGGTTATTTTCTTGACAATATTATATTTGGCAAAACTGTAATTGTGGTAAGAGAATTATAAAGGGCATCATACAATGGCAAGAAAAATAATGGCAAGAAAACATACTTTTAAACGGTTTCGGAGTAAATACATGTTCTGAAAAACAACTGCTTCCAAAATAAACTGATTTCTTCCCAGAAGCATTCAACATTGATCGGAGGAACCATTTTCTTAGAACACCATTTTCAGTGTTCATGAAACACTACTGCCATGTCATGACCCTAGTAGGCAGACACTTCAAACTTTAGTCCAGAGGCACATGGTATCTCTTTATGAATTCTTCAGATTAGCAGTTACAGGATTCAAATAGGTTGTGGTCGTCAGGAAGATGGACCACCGGGTCTCCTTCCAAGGAAAGATGTGCTGCCTACCTGCAGGCAATGTGGCCAGCAGATAGCTTCCTGCTGTGGCTACCTCAGGCTGTCTTACCTACAGAGGGTCACCCCAACCTGGCAGTATGACCTTCCCAGGGCAGCCTGCCTCCAGTGACTGAGCCAAGCAGGCAACACTTGCTTCAGAGCTCTTCAGGAGGTTGCTCCAAGCTTTGTCAGGGCTGACTCACAGCTACACTTCTCCCTTGGCCCAGTTTTTTAGCCCCTTCCTTTTACAATGAACATCCTGCACCCAAACTCTGGTCTCCATGTCCACTTCCAGAGAACATAATCTGTAGCACATCTTTTCCATTTATATTCTCTCTCACTCCATTTACCACAAATCTCAAGAAAATGCTGTGTATGCTCATCTTCTTGCATTATCATGATACTTAAGAGCAAGCCCACTTTTTAGGATCTAGACATCACTTTATTTAATCAAAGAAAGGAATATAAGTAGACTCTTCCTTGCATTATCCTACTCGGTACATAGAAGAGGACATAATTGTTGAGCCATCCTTTTCTCTATGAAAATTAAACTATACCTTGCCTATAAAATTAAAAATATAAAATAGTATTCATTCATGCATGTATTCATTCAATATTATTCAATACTTAGCACTTTATACAGACCAGGCACAGGTGAAAAAATATTGAAGAAAGCTCCCACTCTAGAAGAGAATGCATTCTAGTGATTGAGTTGGATAATAGATAGAAATTAATACATTGCCAGGGTATGTAAGGAAAAATAAAGCCCGGTGAGAGAATAAAGAATGACTGGAGAAGCATCTCTTGTTTTAAAACCACAAGTAGAGAGGGACTGCTGTAATCCATAAATGGCTGGGGTAGCACAGTCACATCTACATATAGTAGATCAATTTTCTAGATAGTACATATCATTTTTGTTCTAGTGAAAAACTCATTGCATGAAACTTCGCTAAAATAATATTTCCTCTGCATTGTGAGTCCACCTGCTGCATAAAACATAAAATCTTAAATCTCTATTACTAACCTATATAGCAGTTTTGTCTTGGGGATAGAGCAGCCTAAGCCATTATAGGCTAGAGTCAGATACAGCTGTCTCAGGCAGATGGCTTTAGTGGGCAACATCATAAGCTTGCCAGATTTTTTAAAATATGAAAGGGTTTTCTGCCTCATTAGTACTTCATGGCTGACCATCCACAAACACCTGGTGTTCAGACTTCTTCCTCTTGTGAAAATGCAACAATATATAGGCTTAGCTCAAAGGGGTTTATGTTATATAATCTTTGTCCAAAGGATATAATACCTAGATAATTTATAAAGGCACAGGTAGGGGAAAACTTATATAGTTAAATTAAGGTGAAAAACTGAAATCAGAACCAATAGGAACTTAGAGTAGTGGTAGAGGCAAATTAAATTACTTTAAATCCTTCCCAATTCTCAAACTACATTGTGCAGAGGGAATCCCAGGTGGCCTTTAGAGGTCACTATTTATACCATCAATGAAAGAATAAATAACATATATTGACAGTTTTGTTCTAAGAACAACTGTACATTCATCTTATTTTCTTCTCTTATACTGCAGGAGAACTTTGCCGATATCTTCAACACATACAGGAACATACAGTACCACAGTGGCCTTCCTTAACCCAGGATTCAAACCTGGCTGAACTACCTATCCTGCTGAACTCATATAAGGGAAAGCAAAAAAAGCAATAGACTTAAGAATTTAGAGAACACATAATTCAAATTCAGCTACTATAATTTTATTAGTTTTTAAAAAGAGTGTACTGTCCCAAGGTTACAAATTTAAGTTTTTCTATCTGTAAAAGGGAGATAACATCTACCCAAATACTTCACGAGGTCCATAAAGAATGTGTTTCAAAGTACAAATGACCCTTGAGCAATGCAAGTGTTAGGGGTGCTGACCCCCACAAAACCGAAAACCTGGGTATAACTTTTGACTCCCCTAAAACTTCTTTATTTTTTTAAATTACAAAAAAATTTCCTTGAAAAGAGAGTGTGCAAGTAGGGGAGGAGGGTCAGAGGGAGGAGAGAGAGAGACTCAAGAAGACCCCTCACTGAGCACGAGCCAAAGTGGGACTTGATCTCACGACCCTGAGATCATGTCCTGAGCCAATAATCAACAGTGGAATGCTCCACAAACTGAGCCACCCAGGCACCTCCCAAAAACTTAACTTCTAATAGCCTACTGTTGACTGGAAGCCTTACTGATTAATTAATACATATTTTGCATGCGATATATACCGTATTCTTACAATAAAGACAAAAGAAAATGTTATTGAAAAGATCATAAGGAAAATATATTTACAGTATTGTGCTGTATTTATCAGAAAAAAATCCACGTGTAAGTGAACCTGTGCAGTTCAAACCCATATTGTTAAGGGCCAACTGTACTTTGAAAACTACAAAGCGATTTGCAAACGCACTGTTACAAATGGAGTTTGGATTAAAATGTCAACACATTATCCTGATAAACTGTATCAGATGATCTCAATTTCAATTGAGCAATAAGAATACATTCAATCTTTTAAGAATGAATGAATGATGGGATCCCTGGGTGGCGCAGCAGTTTGGCGCCTGCCTTTGGCCCAGGGCGCGATCCTGGAGACTCGGGATTGAATCCCACGTCGGGCTCCCGGTGCATGGAGCCTGCTTCTCCCTCTGCCTATGTCTCTGCCTCTCTCTCTCTCTCTCTCTCTCTCTCTCTCTCTCTCTCTCTCTCTCTCTGTGACTATCATAAATAAATAAAAAATAAAATAAAAAAAAAGAATGAATGAATGAATTCATTTATTTGGCATCTTCTGTTACACTATGGAGAATATAAAAATGATAATTATCTCCTATAATCAAAGAACTTATACAAATCAGAATTGAGAAGCGGAATGTGGGAAGAAGGTGTGGTTTTGGTTTTTGCCAACACTTACTGAGCACTTTCTACGTATCAGATATCATTATAAATACTTTATATGGAGTAACTCCTTTAATCTTTAAAAATTTAACATTTCTATCCTCATTTTACAGATGAAGAAGATAAGGCACAAGAATTTTGGAAACCTGTGCAAGATCAGACATTTAGTAAGTATTAAATGTATTAAAGTCAACTCACACATTCAAGCAGCTTAGCTACAATAATACTCATTATATTTTATTGCATCTCCAGTTGGAGCAGGAAACAACAAACATATCATTAACAATAACAAATAATGCTGACTAACAATTCTAATGCAGTAAATGATAAAAGAGGAAATCATCCTGGGATGGGATGGCCAACCAAGTCTTCATGATATGTGCCTAAAACTATATCTAAATTTGTTTATAGAATTTTCACAAGAAAGGGCAGCCCGGGTGGCTCAGCAGTTTAGCGCCGCCTTCAGCCTGGGGCGTGATCCTGGAGATCTGGGATCGAGTCCCATGTCGGGCTCCCTGCATGGAGCCTGCTTCTCCCTTTGCCTGTCTCTCTCTCTGTCTCTGTCTCTCTCTCTCTCTCTCTCTCTCAATGTATCTCATGAATAAATAAATAAAATCTTAAAAAAAAAAAAGAATTTTCACAAGAAAAATCAAATTAAGGGCAAATGAGAATATTTGGAATATTCCATATATACACCTTTTTGAGCAAGCAATAATTATCACTTTATTGAAATATACATACAGGAAAATATAAAAATCCCATATGTACTTTTGAAATATCTGAGTTGGTTCTCATTTATAGAGTAGATTTATTTCCTAATTATAACAGAGCAAACACTGACTTAAAGCAATGTCTGACTACTTATCCATATATCAGTCTTAAAAGAGTCCAATTTATTTCAAAGAATCACTATTGAAGTATTTTCCTATAATCAAGACCATTCAATACTACCCAATTATAATGGAAAATAACTTGAAATCAAATAATGTCTTTCTATAATAAAAAATGACAAGTTATTTTCAGTTTACATCAGGAGCACTGTGTTGATTTTCCATGGTACAGACAGGAGGCTGCCCCACTTGGCCCTCTGGATTTTAATATTTTCTGTAATTATAACATTTTATATATAGGAAACAATTTTTAAGAGCTACTTTTCACATGATGCACAAAACTATGGCAAACAATGGTTTCTACTTGTTTCAATTCCCAGTGGCACAAGTGTACTGATTGCTTGTTGGTCCTATGCGTAGCCCATGTTACTTACCAAGCGATATGTCTGGGCCTTTAAAACGTTGAGATCAATAAAGTTTTCTTCATTGTCTGTCTCCTCTTCCTTAGAAAAATAAGGGTTTTAAAAGTTAATAATTATAAAAAGTTATCAATTTAAAAATGTATTTCTAGTTTTTACATACATAATATACTAGGCTCGATACAAAGACTAATGCAGGAAAGAGTATTTAAAAGCCCAGTGGTGTGCATAAAGTAGGGCATAATGTTATTAGCAGCTCATCTGTTTTTTGAGGTTTTGATGATACCTTTTAAAATAGGGCCTTTTTATAGTCACTGAAAAAAAGAAAAAAAAAGATGGAAGAACTATTGCTATAAAACTAGGGCTAAATAAACAGAAAGAAGAAAAAAAGAAACACTGCATAGTGGCAAATCTGAAATAGGAGAGATAATGGAAGGAGTTAATGGCATTTTGAGAAAACAATGAAAATGGACAACAATGAAGTTGACAGACAGAATATTTTCACCTGCTCCAGGGACCAATCCCATGAATGCATATTTTTAACATCTCGTCTTTTATATGCTCAAGTTTAATAAATTAATAAGGTTAGTCATTAGTACTGCTTGGCCCATGGCCCCTAAAACTATTTAAAGATATTAAGGGCAGCCCGGGTGGCTCAGCTGTTTAGTGCTGCCTTCAGCCCAGGGCGTGATCCTGGAGACCCGGGATCGAGTCCCACGTCGGGCTCCCTGCATGGAGCCTGCTTCTCCCTCTGCCTGTGTCTCTGCCTCTCTCTCTCTCTCTCTCTCTCTCTGTGTCTCTCGTGGACAAATAAATAAATCTTTAAAAAAAATAAAGATATTAAAATATTAAATCTATTTAAAGATATGAAATGTATATTTTAGATACTAACCTTGTATCTCAGATATTAACTATCTTAAAACATACTTCAGGTAGATTCCAAGCTGGTCCTGATCTCTGAACCAATTGGAGTGGGGGGTAGGGTCAAAAGTGACCCTCTGAGAGGCAATCCCTTTCCCAAAATACAGCAAAAATGGAGTCTGAGCAGGTTTTAAAGCATGCAGGACAAAAAATATCTCCCCTTTCTCTTCAAATGTCTTCATGGTGACAAGTGGCAAAGTGGGTAAAAAACTGAACAAGAGGTTTAAACACATGGTAAGACAGTGAATGGAGTGTAGGCCTCAAAGGAAAAAAACAAAACAACATAGTAAGTGTGTGTTATTTAGTGGACACTTCCACATATCCAGTTCTACAAAGCTGCAGTGAGAGAGTTCAAAAATAATCTTTATCTTCAAGAACTTAGAAGATGTAAGACAGTGGTTCCCAAAATGCGGTTCTAAGACAGTCAGCGTCAGCGTCAGCATCACCTGGGAGCTTGTTAGGGTGCAGATTCTAAGGGTCCCTCCCAGAACTACTCTGATACTCAGGGTGGGCCCACTAAGGTAAGCTATGAGAACTATGTTAATCTTTGGGAAATTGGAAAGATTTTTTTATATATATAAAATATGAAGCAATATAAATGCAGAGCATAAATATACTCAAGTGACATTTACTTTTTTTATGTTTACATTTTTCTACATTTACTTTTTAGGGAAGATGGGCAGTGGAGCACAGACATATAGACAAAATTGATGTAACTGTTCACATTTTAAATCTTAACCATAAATGCAGATGCACACCTTTGAGATGCAGCTCAGTTTATTCTGTGTTTGCACTGACAATGAACTACTTAACAACCAGAGTAAATGATTTAAATGCCAATGGCAATGCCCATGGGAGAAGAGACAAGTTTATTATGCTTTTACAATAACCTAATCAGTACTGTTTACATAGGGAATCAATAAATACTTGTTGAATTAGTACTGGATTAAATGCTAATAGGTAAAAAGCTTTAATAGTAGGCAGTCAAAAAAAAGGATTTAACTTACTAAGTATTAGTAAGAGAGCATTCAAAAGGAATCCAAATATAAACAGACTTAGAAAAAAGTTTTAAAATAAACTAAAAGGATTCTGATTTCAGTAATTCAGAAGACACTCAACAATTTCCTACCACTTCTTTGCCTAATATGTACTATGTACCCTCTTAATTCTGTGCCAATTGATAAGTATATGATTATATATAGCAGGTGAAAATATTGTTTTGTGACCAATAAATTTTTTTTAAGTTATCAATGTGTCCTATCTTGATTTGACAAGTTTAAAACTGAAGGATTCTAGTTTCTAGATGATTATAGCAGAACTTTGTCAGAAATTATCTTTTCCACCGTTGAGCCAACCTGCAATCTCTGGCAACAAAATAATATAACATCCCACCACCCAAACACTTTTTTTTTTTTTTTTTACCCAAACACTTTTTGGCACTCATCTCCTTAGTAAGAGGAATGGGAGAGGTAATGGGAGGGCTCCTTAAAATGACAGTAAGAAAGAAAAGGAAAAAATTCAAGAGACTTGACATAAGGGAACCAGCAGCCTCAGAAGGAACCTTTGCGTAAGTCCTTCAGGAGGTCTTTACCTTACAGTTGGGAAGAAATGTGAAAAGAGGCTAGTTTCTAGTTTGTTTCTCTAATTTACACACCTAATGATGCTGCTTTGGACTTTAAAAGGTTCTCAGAAAAAACTAGCTATATTTCTAAAAGTTATATAACAATTTGCTGACAGCTGATTGTGTAGTCAAATAGTTAATGAACGCCCACTTTGCACCAGACACTGCACAATAACGTGGAGATATAAAAAAAAAGTGCAAAATTATAGTCTTCTGACTAGTAGGTTTTTGTACTTTTTTTTCCTGACAGTTTTGAGTTATGTCTCTGAAGCTAAATGTTGATGCACTAGGGCCAGGTGTCTGTCTATAAACCGTTAACTAATAAATAGTTACTAAATAGAGAAGATGAGGAAAATACCTGAGTAAAATAAATGAGATGAACAAATGGGAATATATGAGAACTTAGCATTTCCTGAGCCTGAATGGAAAGATCTATTACACAAAGATAAGTCAAAACTCCTTAAAATGGCCAAAATGATCTGGACCTGGTCTATCTTTCCTATCAATCCTAAACCACACACATGCACATACCCGCCTCACTGAGGAAATCTGGCCCCAATGGTCTTCTCTCAGTTCCTGTATCAAGCTAAGCTCTTTCCTGCCTCAGAGCTTTTGTACATGTAGTTCCACCAGGGTCTTGCCCAACAGGTGCTCAATAAAATGCATGCAGAATGAATGAATATATATTTACCTTAACTTTTAAAATGTACATTTTTAAAAGGTATCTTTTAAGTTGATTAGTTTTACAATGGTCTTTTTCCTTCTATAAATAACAGTCTTCTTTTTTCTATTTATGGTTTAAAATATTTACACTGCTGATACATGTTAAAAAAACTTTGACAATACAAAGCAGCATAAAAAAGGAAATAATCATCCATAATCTTTCTACCCATATATAACTAATGTTAACATTATTATTTTTCCTTTTTTGTATATTTTATATACTTGGGTTTATGTGTACAGCATAAGTTATCATCCCTATGTCACTAACATTTCTTTGTAAACAATTTTAATGGCTACATAATATTCTACTATTTGGATATAGTCTAATTTATTTAATGGTTAGTTTTAGCATTTGCTATAAAACAATGCAGTGATTTTTAAGCATATAATAGCTTAAGAAATTAAGATGAAATACAGAATATACTTATTATCTAATGATTTAAAAATTCACTTGGAAAATGTAATTGGTCTATGACAATAAAATATACTTCAAAAAAGGGTCTTTTTCCTGCTATTTCAGTTCCAGATCATAGGTATACTTCCTAGAACACCAGGGTCATTCCATCTCTGGATCTGAGAAAGTGTTCTTTTTCTCTACCATTTTATTAGTTTAATCTGTTATACACACTTGATCATTTACTTTCACAATATGAATAGAATATTAAGAATTGTAAAGGCCCAGATGCTGCCAAAAAATATAAATAATGTTGGTATTTATAACTATTTTTAAAAATTCCTAAAGGGTAGCATTTACCCCAATTTTAGAAGCATACAGGAGTTCCTGAGAAATGAATAGTGTTCTTACGAAGTAGAATATATTAATCCTAAATCTTATTATTCTTTTTCAAGTTCTTTATTATTTATGGCCCATTTCAAATCATGAATGGTGCTAATAAAATATTTACTCATATAACCAGTAGTCCACAATTTCCTGTCTACAGTTTAAGAACCTCTGCTATAATTCAGACCTCAATCATTAGAAAACATGAGCATTAACTTAACCAAAGGTCTAAACAACTGATGTATGGTGCTCTATTTAAAAGCTTTTTTACTCTAGAAACAACGAAATGAAATATATTACTAAAAATAGAAGTCTGGGGGAATTAAGAGAAGGGAAAGGAATTCAAAGGTAGAAAGAAACAAAATGTTCAGCAATACACATACCACAAATTCTTCATCCACTTTATTTAATGTTAATTCTGCATCATCTTCTGGGACAGTTTCTTCTTCTAATTCTTCCACTGGGTATGTTGGTCTAAAATAATAAGGCTTACTATGAGATGAGAGTTAAAAACAAAACATTTTAACAAGATATATCAAGAATTTCCTCTACACTGGATCTTGTCCTTTCTTAGCCCCCTTCCATAATCACTATTACATGTCTACCAATATGGTAAACAAACATTTATTTTTGCCAACCATATAAGTGAAAAATCTCTTGTTTTAATTGCATTTCCTTCAGAGAGTGGGTGAATACTTTTTCATGTTTTAATTGGTTATTTTGTATCTTAAGAAGTTTAATGCTTTGCCTAACTTGTGTTAGAAACAATTTTCCTAGTTTATCACTTACAATTTTGGCTATTAAGGACTGTTACAATTCTTATTACACACACTTGGCAACCTTTTCTTGCATGGATTCTAGTAGCTTTAACATCATATACAAGGCTTTTCCCTCATATGACACGTCCCACCCTTCTTTGACCTTTTAGTATGCCTATGGTTTCATTTTTTACACTTACATTTTTGACAGATCTGAAATTTATTTTGATAAAATAAGAAGGGTCCCAGCTTTCTAGCTTCCAAAATCTACTCAATGGTCCTAAGTATTGAATGACCATTTCCCCAGCAAGATTAATGACATGTATTTTCCATATTAAAAATACCTGAAAGTATTTAAGTTTATTTCTAGAAACCTATTGAAAAATCCATACCTCAGAGAGATTAACAAAATACAAAAATCAACATTTAATATTAAGGAAAGAAAGTACTGAGAACCAAATCAATCTTCTTAAGGAATAAATTTTCTATTTTATTAATTAGAATTAGATAATATCTCAAAAGCAGTGTTCTTCTAGGATTTGCTTTGACATATTTAATATATAAAATAACCATCATAAATATGTAATTTCTATGTAATTTACATGTTATGCAGCTGACATTATCTGATGCCTACTTTTAATATTTTCCCCCTTTTTCTCCCCATGTATTCACAATCCTTATAAATTATCCAAATCACAATACATGGTCAAGAATTAGATATGCCTAGAAACAAAGGAGGTACAAAATTGAATAGTGGTTGAGATACCAATCACTTCAGGTGAATTTAGAACACATTGGGCAATAAATTTAATGATATTTAAAAATCCCAAATGGGGTAAGCACATCTCATAACTTTTCTTGGAGTCTAATAAAGAAGTAATGTGAATCATGTAGTTTATTCCTTATATTGCACTAACTGGTAATATTTAGGTTGAAGCATATGAAACTGACATTTTTTAGTTCAGTGATAGGTTAATATCAGTAATTTCATATGGTTCAAGTTGATGATGACCTAAGTCAAGTACATTTTTTAAAGTACTTATTAATAAGGGAATAGATTATTTACATGAGAATATAATTAAATATACATTAAAATATTAACAGGGAATATATACACCTTTCCAAAGAAATTTTTTTCTCATCCCAAAGCACTGCTTGCTCATGTCTTACCTGAATAATGATTTTCACAATCTCTAACCTGTCAATAATTCCAATCTTCAAAGAACAAATTTATGTATTTCCTAACTATACCTTATATAAATTGATAGTTTCTGAATATTTTATTCTCTTATCCACAAGATCAACATTTATTGAGCATCTATGATATACAAAGTGCTATGCTAACTGCCATACAGTATATATGAAGAGTTCATAGTTTCTGGCAAGAAATCCACACCTGTAAACAAATGTCTTTAATACCAAGGGATAAATACAATATTAGAAGCATAAACAAATCACTATCAGGATAGAGAAAGAAGCAATGAACAATGTCTAAGAGAGTGTCACATGGCTTTTTCAGGTGGCTATTATTTTTGCCAGTATCTATAAGCAAAAGAGAAAATTCCACTTAAAGTAATATATTAATTTCCATTTTTTCCTTAAATGTACAGCTATCAGTTACCCCCACGAATATACTATCCTTGTGTGTATAAATAAAGAGACCCTGAAAAAATTTCCTACATTGATGAAGATATTCAGTTACAGTTAAACCTTTAATAATTTATATATTTGAACTGTGAAGGGACATGATAAAATCAGAACTGGTGTGAATATACTAGATATTCCAATTTTGTCTATGCAGACATTTCTATGCATTTTCAGCTTAGAATAGTCAAGAGGAAATACTTTTTGTCAGTTCAATTAAATAGCTCTGAACCCACAGAGGAAAAAGCTATCCACATAAAATTACTATTGCCAGATTGGGTAATTTTTACCTTTTCCAAGTGAAACCAATATATTTTAATGCTTCTTCTGCTAAACAGTCAAGAACATAGCATACGTGTTCTCCATAACCTGACTTTAATTTTGAAGGAGGAAAATCTGCAGTTCTGCCCTGAAATACAAAAGATAAACAGGGTATTATTTGTTATTTATATTCCAAATGTCAAAATATTTTAAGCAAAGTACTGCTGAATAAATGTATCACTTCTCTACTTTTCAGATATGATTTAAAATAACTGTAATTATGTTGCTTCTCAGAAATCCATCTTTTCAATCCATTGATACATAAAAAAACTAAAGGAAAATGAAGATGTTTTATTGTCAAAGGTATCAAATTGAAAGGCAATAACCTCATGACAGAACAAGTAATTGATCCTGGTAGGGTGAAAAAACAGTAAACCTACTAGCTTGGTATCCCATCATTAAGCAACCATAGGAAAGACAGAGTGAATCAGTTGTCAAAAATTAATAACGTGTGCCAAAAATTCTTACTGCCTGTCCCCCAGGAAAAGTCAGAAATGAAAAGTACAACTGCTATCATGGTCTATTAAATCAAAGCTCCCTTTCAAAATACAGTGTTTCAGCTTCCTACTATCATTTTTTAGAAGGAGAACTAAGTATCCATAAATTTACCTCTGAGACATAACAAGATTAAGAAAAATATTATTACTTTGGGCTATAAAGAATACACTGAACATTTTTAGAAGTACCATCAATATTGTAATATCAACCATTCTGAGGTTTTATCTGAAAAAAATCCAGACATAATTTTATATATGTATGTATGGGTGTGTATAGGCATATTAATAGACGATTCATCTAAAAGGGTAGCATCTACATTGAATTATCAATATTAAAATTTATAACTTGATAACATTCTGAAAAAAGAGTTATTTACACTTACAAATAATCGAAGCTCAGATAATATGTTAGATATAGTTGCATTGGGGTCATCATATTCTTGATGTTGCTCAAAAGGGCGTCCTGCTTTGTTAATCAACCAAGCAGCAAGAGTGCAAAACATGTAGAACTGTTCACCAGGGTTGGTAGGCAGTGCAAAATAATGTCTGTTTCAAAACAAGGCAGGGAGGATGAAATATGAAGTATTGCAAACAACCTTATAGTAACTAAAGAGACTAAGCCCAAAATTGCTAAAGAACTTTTTTTTTTAATGGCTTTAAAATCAAAAGACATTTATAAATCACTCTGAAGTTTCCAGTAATCCACAATACTCATATTAAAGTTTTTAACCAACAGGACTAGGGCAATTACTACTATACACAAAATATTAGATCAAATATCTTAGACGCAGTAAATGCAGGGCATGTTAAAAAACTGATCATGTACAACTTTTGCCAAAATCATTTACATGTCAGGAATAATGAATAAGAGAGTATCTCTTGAAAATGGTAATTGGGAATTAAGAGAATTTCAGAGTTTAAAAAAAGACTTTAATGATTATTCGCTATGCATTTTTACAGTTTTTACAATGTCACTGGTATCTTTACATACTGTTCCCAACCTATCAGGTATGTTAAACAGTTGTCCTCATCTTAGCTGCATATTTGAAGCACCTGATGAGCTCATCGAACTATTGCTACCAGACCAAACCTTGCTTCTTCCCTTATGAATTATATCAGAACTTCTGGGAATAAAGCCCCATACTTTTGAACAAGTATGTCTCAAAAACTTCCTACATGGTTTTAAGGTGGCAGGATTAAGAACCACGGAGTATCACATCCACAGTCTAACAAACATTTGCTGACTTTTGCTAAATACCCTAGCCTACTAAAAACAGTCCTATGAAGATCAATATGATTTATACTTAAATAGGTTAAGAATAAACTTGCTCACAACATTCAAGTCAGTTTGATCAAAGTTCTTAGTTTGTCTTCGCAGTTATTAATTTTATGTGCAGCTTTAATTGTATTTGTGGCTATTACAATTGTTTTTCCTGAGAATCATCAGCCTGCTCTTTCATGCTTCCCAAACTTTTTCCTGCAGGTACATGCAAATGTTCTGATAACAGCTGAGAAGAAAAAGGTCAGGAGGTCCTTCCAGGTGTACGTTCACAACACTTTCAAGGTGAGATTTTCCTTACAGATTGATGATAACTCCAGGACAGAGGACTGGATTATTGATAAATCCTCCAGACTAGGACAGTGGTTCTCAAACTTAAGCATGTATCAGAATCACTGGAAAGGCTTGTCAAACAGACCTGTAGGCTCCACCCCTAGAATTTCTGATGCAGTAGACCTGGGAAAGGGCTTGTGGAATTGCATTTCTAACAAGTTCCAAAGTGATGCTGCTGCTTGGTCTGATGACCACACTCTGGGAACCATTAAATTGGGATATTGCCAATATATCAAATCCATGATTCACAATATCCTGCGGAACTCCTTAGGAAGTTGTACAGAGGGTTATATCACTAGACCCTTAAAACCATTTTCTTTTATTTTGAAAAATATACTTGGGAACAAAAATGCATTTTTGTCATAGAAAATGTTGGTTGTTTAGATTATCCTGATTCATTGAAGCAGTAATTCCGAATCCCAGAATTTCTTTTTTTTTTTTTAAAGATTTTATTTATTTATTCATGAGAGACACAGAAAGAAGCAGAGACACAGAGGGAGAAGCAGGCTCCATGCAGGGAGCCCAACGTAGGACCCGATCCTGAGTCTCCAGGATCACACCCTGGGCCGAAGGCAGGCACTAAACTGCTGAGCCACCCGGGCTGCCCCCAATTCCCAAAACTTCTATCATGGATCAAGCAACACCAGTTTTCCCTCTAACTTTTCTCCTATTATGGACGGCCTTGATCATATGGGCAGTTTACATAGAGCCTATGTATATCTTAAAGTTCAAGTTCTTGGAAGAGACCAAGGAATGAGATCAAAACCGTCCAGGGAAATTACCTTCGGCCAGGTGTAGCCATTAAAAGCAAGCATTACAGATTCTCCATCTAAATTGCATTTTAGACCATAAACAAATGTTAAGTACTAACTTACTTATCCGGCCGTCACTAAGCTGTGGATTGAAAGATGGAGTGCTAGCCTAGCCATGCATCACCCTCAACAACTCCAGGCCCTGAATTCAGGATGCGATGGGCTTTTCCCCACCAGGAGCAAGGGCAGAATTCTCGGTCGTCTGCTACACACGGTTCTAACAGTCGTTGGGGTCACTGGCCTTTCCCACGGCCTAGTTTCTGGGAGCACGGTTATGGCCAAGGCAGAAGTCTTTCCTACCAGAGCAGCGAGTCAACAAGTTTCCTGACTGCATGTAGAGTCAGGCGAGGCCCTGGGTACTCACAGTTACCAGTCGCAGAGGAAACACCAAAACTAGAGCTGGAGCTAAGGCGGTGACGGTGTTCACCTGTGGGCCGAGGGGGCTTAGGGGTGAGGTCAGTATTTCCCCCACACACACACTTTCTTGTGTTTTTCTGAGTCCTCTACAATAGGTACTTTTACGACTTTTATAAACAGAAAAAAAACAAACAGTTTTGTGGAGGTGCGTGTGTGCTTTCAGGACTAGGAGAGCCAGGCCGTCTTCTGAAACTTTCCTCTACCAACCAACCAAGGCTAACCTGGGGGCTCCGCGGCCTCTGCCGCCGGGTTCGGGGAGAGGTGCCCCTCCTGGCTAGCAGGTGGCGGCAGGTGCTGCCTCGCGCTCCAGGCTCCCCGGAGGCCGGGCGCGGCCTGTCCCGGGGGCCCGGCCGGCACCCGGCGCTGGAGGACGGGGGCACCCACCTGGACGGGGGCTTCAGGTTGTTCTTCCGGAGGAGTTCCTCCTCGTAGTGGAGCAGCTTCAGCTTCTCCACCAGGTCCTCCATCACCACGAACATGTGGTAGGCCGCGCCGGGCCCCCGCTCCACGACCGCCTCCCCTGCCCCTTCGCCGCGGGACCGAGGCCCTCCATCCTCCACACCTGCCGGCGCGGCCACCGCCGCCGCGGCCGCCATCACGGAGCCGGCAGGAAGCGCCCGGCGTGGGCTCGGGCCCACACACCTCGGCGGCCGCCGCCGCCTGCGCCGCCGCCGCCGCCGGGACCGCCGCGACCCGTTACCAGGGAAACTAGGCCCCGCCCCCTCCCCGCCTGGTTTCTTCTGAAGTCCCTCCAACCAGGGCGGGCCTTGCGGGTGACGTCACGCCGGGCCCGCCTCCGAGGAGGAGGTGGCTGGGGGGTAGTCCCGCCCCTCGGGGGCGAGGCGGGGCGGATGGTTCGCGTCCACGTCAGGCCACGCCTCCTGGCGACGGGGGGCGGAGCGCGTTTGTGCTGGGCGCTCCGGTTGGCTGTGGGCGGGCGGGGGCGGGGCCGGGGGCGGGGCCGGGGCGGGGCCGGGGCTGTGGTTACGGACCGCCCCGAGCGGGTTCGGGTAGCGCGCGGACAAAATTAAAGGGGAAGGAGGACGCGGAGTGTGGCCGGCTAAGCCGGCGGGCTGCTGTGTTTTCGTTTCTTGTCTCAGAATTGAAAGTTTTCACGGTTGCACCAATAGTCGACGTCGTAGGTTTCCCTTTACCTCAGGAACTTTCCAACAAGAGGTTTCTGTATTTCAAAGACTATTATAAACCTTGAAGTATCCTAATTCCCCCGTTAACTCGGGCGCTGGGAGAGGGAAGGGGTGGGGAAAGGAAAGGCAGAGGGGCCCCCGGGAAGGGTTGGTTCTACCTCGGAAACAAGAATTCTGAGTTCACATCCTGCCGATTCATTGGTTTCGAGCCCGTTACATGGAGCCTAAAAGTTGGGGGTTCCTAGTTAAGAATAATTAAAAAAAAAAAAAAGGGAGTTATCCTGAATTTCTCTGCACGACAGCTCTCAGGGGGCTAAGGGGGGGGGGTACTCCTGCACTCTGCAGCTCTTGACTTAGTCAGGAAAGGTCACGTAACTGACCACCGCTTTACAGTTCTCAAAAGGGTCTTGTGTGTCAAGCAGCTTTCCAAAAAGCTGCATAAAATACGAGATAAGTGTGTAGGTTTCCTGGGAGAAGAAACGTGTGGGAAGAGGTGGAAAACGTGTTTGTGTTTATAATGTGGTTTGGAGGAGATCTCTGATGTTTTATACCTGCTCCTAGAGAATACAAAAGAGTCACTTTTTTTTTTGACATAACTGGAGTTTTGAAATTTACCTAATATATTTTTGTTTTTGTTAGAAAGTGAGTGGAGGAGCACTTTTTCCTTTTAGTATCAGTCTAGACCTAACTGTCAGACATTAAGAAAGTTATTAAAGTGGGATATCAGGAAGGCAAATACCTTTTTCCATTTATCAGAGAAATACATAAAATAATTTAGAAAATAACCCAAAGGGAAGGGCCATAGAGAATTGCTTTTTAAATAAGTAACATTCCTTTCCTACTGCAAGTCATTAGCCAGCTGCTTTTAATAAAGGTAGGTTGGAAAATTGGATTTGGCTGTACCCCACTGTAGATTTGTTTTTTTGGGTTTTTGTTTTGTTTTGTTTGCTTCCTTAGAAAAGTGTTTCTCATCCATACATCCCCACTGCAGCTACCATATTTGTGGGTGAGGGATGTTGTGGTATGTCTGTATAACTTTCAGAGTACAAAAAGGATGTATAGCTTTTTACAATTGGAAAAGAAAAATGAAAGTTCAGACACATGCTTTGAGATGCTTGGTTAGTCAACAAGCAACCTGTGGCTGTTTAAATGACACTCAAAAAGGTTTCAGACTTTACAGGTAAATTGGTTCCACCCAAGGACGTAGATGTTCTCTGCTGTCTGCATAAGATGTTCTGACATTTTCAGAAAGTTATATATAGCACTCAAGATGAAATAGCCAAACATTGTATTTGGCTGAGAAAGACCTCCAACAACATATGTATTTTCACTAGGGGGAAAAAAATCCCACCTGTCCCAGAACCTAGCCATTTTCTTCCCAGGTACAATACTGCTGCATCCTGGCTTGAAAGCAGTATGAAGAATTATTTTTCCTCTTCATTGTTGTGAAGAAAAAAGACTAAACTCTAAAGTGTGCCGCAGTAACTGTGGCACAGAAAGAATGAAAGAAACAAAAAGCCAACTGTTCAACATTGTGTGATTTCCCATAGGAAAAAAAAAAAAAAGATGAGAACGCCGAAATGTCATTTCATTCTTATAAGGTCCAGGGATGAGTTTGCTGAATCTTTGTTTACCCATCGTGGCTGAGAACACTTCTCTTTCCCTGCTGGAAGTAGTTTCCTTCACATGTCTGAGAATGCGCACTTAAATCCTCTTCCAGCTGTTTCAGCCACTTGGAAGCTTTAGGGTATGTTTTTGTTAGTAATTTTGCAGGACTAGCTCCTATATTGACCAGGGAGTTAGAGAAGAGCTTGAAGGGGAAGGAATATTGAGGCATGTGCTTACTTCCTTTTGAGAATCTTAAGGGATTTATCCCTGGCTCTGTGTGTTGACTGCAATTAATAGCCAGGCTTTTCCCTTGGACTTTTATCTCTTGCAAACCATGAAATGATTGGAGGTAATTTTTAAGGCCCTTAAGATCTTTTTGTGAGTAAATGTGCTAATCTCTGGAAACTGAACAGTATTCTGATCAAAGAGGGATTTAAACTAAATGGATTTCCCTGAAAGATGCTGCGCAAGGCCGGCGATGAAAAGGAGGCAGGTTCAAAGATGGAGGAAGGCTTTCCAGCTGCATCTCTAACTGTAAGACAAGACTGGGCATACTTAAAGAACCAACCTGCTTTGTATTATAAATGGCTTAGTACCACCCATTCAAGATGTTAAAAACTTAGAAAGCGACTAATTGAATAAAACTTTCTTAGGCTAATAGAAAGTATCTGCCAGAAATCTAAAAAGAAAAAAGTCATGTTTAAATGTGAAGCATTGGAGGCAATGCTTTTATTTTTATTTTATTTTTTTAAAAGATGTTATTTATTTATTCATCAGAGACACAGAAAGAAGCAGAGACATACACAGAGGGAGAAGCAGGTTCCCTGCAGGGAGCCTGATGTGGGACCTCCTCAGGATCAAGTCCTGAGCCAAAGGCAGATGCTCAACCACTGAGCCACCCAGGCGTCCCGACAATGCCTTTTAAAGTCAAGAACAAGATGAAGACACTCACTATTGGAAACTGTACTACTAGAAATCAGAGCCAGTACACTGGATGAAAATTAGTAAATATTGCAGAAGAAACTGTTGCAGGTGATACAATTAAGTGAAAAAGTCCAAGAGAATTTATAGACAAGCTATTAAGACAGCTCAGCAAGTTTGCCTTAGATGACAAGATCCAAACTAAAGAAAAGTCACTAGAAAAACAAAACTTCAAAAAAAAAAAAAGAAAGAGCAATATATAGCATGCAAGAATAAGTCTAAAATTATCATCATGGTGAAATTGTTAAACTTTACTGAAAGTCGTGGAAATATCCAAACAGGGATATGATGTTCATGAATGAGAAAAATTAGTTCTCTTTGCCCAATCTTTAAATTCAATGAATTTTGGATAAAATTGCAAGAGGGCTGATACTGAAAAATCATACATAAGAATAAATTCAAAGAAGATTGGAGAAGGAATCATTATCAGATAGTGGTTTCCTAATCAAAGTGTAACTTAAAATAATAAAATCACAGGAATAAATAGAAGATGGCCTGGAAACAGGTGAGAGTTTATTTGGAAACTCAGTATATGGCAAAATTTGTGTTACCAATTAGTGGAGAAAGATGAACTAGTCAGTAAATGCTCTTGCAGTTATGGGTTATCCATGTGGAAACAAATCTACATCTCTTGATTCCAACACATAAATTTCAGTTGGATTAAAGACATAAATGTGAAATACTTATAGGACGTTTAGAAGGGAACAAAAGAATATCTTCAACCTCAATGTAGGGAAGGATTTCTCAAAGGAAATAAAAAACAAATTGTAAAGGAAAGAGAAATTCATTAAATTTAAGAACTTAGATACAAAAGAGGAACATAAACAATGAAGAAAAAAGATATTTGTGAGCCATATAATGTCAATGAATTAGTCTCCAGAATATACAAAGGTCATCGCAAGACCTCTGGGCCATGTTGAAGGATTTTAGAAGTTTTCTTTTGGGTCAGGCTTTCTTGGCTTTTAACACTATTGGCATTTTAGTCTGGATAATTCTTTGTTGTTGAATACAGTTCTGTACATTGTAGGATGTTTAACATCCCAAACACCGGTGGGACACACTGAGTCCTAAGTTGCAAGCTTAGAAGGAGAAGGGCTTTGTAACCCATTCCCCTGGGTTTACTTCATTTTCTAGGTCTTCTTTACTAGTGGAAGTCTTCTAACTCCATTAAGCTTTACTTGACTTTGGTCCTCAAGACAGACAAATGCCATATAATTATATCGTACATATTTCAAGGCTTTGCTTTGCTTCATGGTCTCATTCTCTTGGGAGAAACATAGTGCATGTGTGGACTGAGTACAGTTTACTGTCCCTGTGTAAGTGATGGGGGATAGTTATTGAAGGGTGTAAGTATGGGTATTTGTGTTGGAGGAAGAAGAGCAGAAGATTAGATTTGTATTTTCAAATGTTTCGGCAATATTGTAGAGAAAGGACTATAGGGAGGTGAATATTGATTCAGAGGGCAATTTGAATAATCAGGTGAGAGATGCTCCTGAACTGAGATGAGTGGCAATTGAAATAGTGAAAAAAAAAAAGATACATAGATATAAGGAAAGAGATTCAATAGCACTCTGTAACAGGCACCATAAGATGTTCTCTAGGGCATGAATGGCACCACAAAGATGCCCCCACTTTAGGACAAGAAAACCGGCCTTTATATCCCTGTCTCACTGAGTCATTGGCTGTGATATATCCCATATATTTCTGGGTGAGGTAGCTTCTGTTGGCCAAGGGTAATTTTCTGGAGAAGGATACAGCTGTGAACACAGAGTGGTTAATATTTATAGCAACTGGTGGATGGGAACATCAGCCTGGTAAAAAGGGATCTGGGTAGGCATCAGCTGCTTTTACTATAATAGTTGACATTAAAATGCAACACTTCTGAATTTCTTTATGTGGAATATGAACTGAAGTAGTAAAGATGGTCTTAAGCTAAGGTTTTAAAAAAA